AGATCTTTTTACTTGCCGCCCACTCTCAAAGAACATTTCTTATATATACAAGAGAGGGTGAACAGAGACACAAAACAATCAATCAACACAACCAAAAAACTCAGTCAAAGGACAAACATTCAAATGATCACTTAATCACAAAAACTTCAAACTAAGTCCAGCAGACTTAGAGTCTGAAGCACTTCAATTCCAAAGCTTCTCAACAAGCTTGCAGAATCATCTTTTTTTCTCCCAGCAAAGACAGTTAGAATACTGTTTCGGATTTGAATCTCAGTTCACAAGTCAACAATAACGAGATTTCTCTCGTTACAAATTTGGTTCAGCAAAAGCCAAGACAAGCAGAATTTGAATTTTCTCAAAACGAAAAACTCAACAAATTTATGGAGAGCCCTGACTAAGCAGTATAGGCAATGGCGGATCCAGGAATTTTTATAGGGGTAGGCTAAATAATTTTTTTTTTAGAGGAGATATATTATAAGCATTTTTTCTCCTGAAACAAAAATGTAAATAAAATTTTATAAATCAAACAAAGTCACATTACAAAAATTCATATATGCTAATTAATAATTCAAGTTGCAAAAATAAAACATATATCAACAATCTCCAAAAAAAATTACCCAAACCCTAAATCATAAAAACTTAACAACAATTAAAATTGGAAATTGAATATATAAAATAAAAAAATTTTAAAAAAGAGAAAAACTTATTGAGATTGAAGAACCCACTGAAGATAGGTTGGTACAATTTTTTAGAGGAAGAGAACTATTTCCTTTAGGCTCTCAAGGTTCAAATATGGCGTTTTGGGTGGCTAGAAGAATTTTTTTTTTATGTTTGCTCTCTGTGGGTGTAGCCCAATATCAATACGATTAGAATAGGTCAAGTTGGTAGAGCCTTAGCGTGAGTCCTACTTCTAATCAAATTTATATAAGTTTGGATTGATGTTTATTATTCATTCAAATGATCATTTAATCACAAAAACTTCAAACTAAGTCCAGCAGACTTAGAGTCTGAAGCACTTCAATTCCAAAGCTTCTCAACAAGCTTGCAGAATCATCCTTTTTTCTCCCAGCAAAGACAGTTAGAATACTGTTTCGGATTTGAATCTCAGTTCACAAGTCAACAATAACGAGATTTCTCTCGTTACAAATTTGGTTCAGCAAAAGCCAAGACAAGCAGAATTTGAGTTTTCTCAAAACGAAAAACTCAACAAATTTATGGAGAGCCCTGACTAAGCAGCACAAGTACCACAGTACGCCTCCAGCTCAAGTCCAGCCACTTCTGTCCCTTTCAGACTGGAGAAGTCCCAGTTCTGCCCATCCAAAAGCCTTCCAGGGTTTGAAATGAATTAAAGCTCTACCAAAATCAAGCTTTGGTATCGATTTGCAGCCGGAGTCCAGCACTTGAAGTTGTTTAACATCCAGTCCAGTCCAGAACAGAGGCAACTACCCAGCCAGAAATGGAAGTACAGCCCTCTTTTTGTCTTTGTATAGTCAGTTTTCCCTTTTTGAGTCTTGAAAAGGGGAGTTCTGCCTGGAATTAGTTCAGTCTGTTATCAGTTATTCTGGCCAGAACTACCGGTTTTATATTGAGGAAAATTATAAAGTCCTTACCAGTCTAAGGCATAGAAAAGAACTTACTTGGGAGATATTCCTCACCCAAATTCACAATCGTTTGTTCAAAGTCAATAGCTTGGGGCGCAAGTTATTTTTACTCTCGAGTTTGTTAGAATTGAAAAAGTTGCTAACAGTGGCACGCTCAACACATAAAGAAAGTTAATTTATTGACCAAACAATGGTCTTTGAATTAATGGGGAACTTTACCCTATTATTACCGGAAACAAATCAAAACGGGTAAACAGTGGTTCCAAGGGAGAACCCCTGGAACCAAGGAGAATTTCATATCCAAAGTTGGTTTTGGGTTGGGGGAGAAGAAGAGTCGAGAAGCGTTTCTCTTGTCCTCATAGATCTTAAGTTTTCATTTTCGTCTTTAGATTCATCTTCTTCATACTCATCTACAACAATTATGTTGTGCAAACTTATGCACGTCATCTTCTAGTGATCTTATTGGTTCTTTCAAAGCCAATATCAACTTTCTTCACAATTTTCGCTATCCCTCACATTTCATAAGTCCTAATTTCTCAGTTAACAAAACCATAAACTATTTGAACTCAAAGTGTAAAAGTAGTTCATTAAGACCAAAGTCAAACTACAATAAGTCAACACACTAGAAATACTGAAAATGCCCACAAATGAACATTCACGTGCTGACATCCATCTTCATTTTTCTTATGGGGTTGGAGATTATGGCAAAAGTTACATGAGTAAAATTCCAGAAATTGAAATTATGTGAACAAAAATGTAAAATTACTAAAGGAGCATCGAACTTCATTATGGTGGTGACCTATAGTGGGAATTATGATATTATTTTAAAAGTACTTGTGAGAATGTGTAAATGAAATCAAGTTCATGCATCCCCACTTCATAGGCCAGTGAATCCATTTAAACGAAGTGTATTGAGTTTAGGGGTTGAAAAGGAAATATTTTTGCTCACCGTTTTACTCTTGGGTGTATGCTCGTTATTCTTCTTAATACTTGACACATGTTCTTAGGTATAACCATAGTTAACCTTTTTACTTTGATTTATATAATCATGGTTAAGTATTGAGAAGGATGATGAGTGTATACCTTAGGTTAAAGTAGTGAGTAAAAATGCTCCCAACAGAGAATGGGTACCATGAGCACCAACCACTACGTCATAGATATATACTTTCATATTAACTACATGATTCATCTGAATGCAGGGACGAATCCAGGATTTCAAAACTCCATGGGCTAAATTTATCTTATGTACGCAGGAAATTTCAGTAGTGAGGGCCATATCACACCAAGCCGGACTTTACAACACGTGTGAGAGAAAAAAGAGAAACGCAAAAGAAAAAAAACAAAGGAGAAATGACGGGAAAAAAACAAGAGAAAAGCAACCAAAAACAAAAAGAAATAGGAAGAAGAAACTGTGGGGAAAAGCTCAATTTGTAGTAGATCTAAATTATAAAAAAAATGGAGAAACAAAGACAAAAAACAAGAGAAAGGCGAAAAATTAAAAGAAATAGAAAGAAGAAGAAAGAAAGGAGGAAAAGAAGAGAGAGAGAACATATGTATTGAAATTTTAAAAAAAAAAATAGGCATGGGCTATAGCCCATACAACCCAATAGCTAGATTCGTCCCTGTCTGAATGGTAACTTCACTTCAGTATAATGAAATGATCATGTGGGTAATATGAAGATGCACAGGAGTCCATACATGGACCCTTCACGATAGAATTTCGCATCCAATAGGTACCAAGTTGGGCCAATAAGTACCCATTTGGGCCATTATATACACATTTGGGCTAATGGAGCCCAATTGGGTTTGGACCAATAGAGCCTATTTGGGCCATTGGAGATTCCTGCTCAATGACCGGCTCATAAAGATTTGCAAACCAGGCGCATTGAGCGAACGGTCTTTTTATAGGTTTCTCTTATAATATTCAAAAAGGTAATAGGGTTACACAAGCACAAGCAGAGAAGATAATAGGAAGCAAATGATGCTACCATTTCCATTTCCAACAAAGTCTAAGCAAAACATCAACAGATACTCAGTTCACATTATTAACAAAACTCAGTTCACATCGCCAACATCAAATATCAACACCATCGCTTACCCACCGCCATAAACTCACTCCTAACCGCTATTATTTCCGGCTTGGTTTTCTTATCCCCATTTTTAAGCCTCGGCAATCTCAGCAGAATCCGCGGCAGCCAAGATCAGCTCTGGTTGAATGCTTCCCACGTATGATCCATCCAAAGCGTTGGGAAGCCCTAGTGCCTTCAATGCCAAGTGGGCTGCCTTTTGCCCTGATATCATCATGGCTCCAAACGTAGGTCCCTGCATCACCAATAAGGTCCAAATTGCAAATTATTATGTTAAGTCACAATCTCAATTAGGACCACCATTTCCAAACACAAAATCCAAATTAAACTAGGACCACAATATAATCAAGTAATGGAACTTTTACAAACATACAAGAACAGAACAAGGGAAAAGGTTTTGGACCCATATTCCCTTTTAACTCACTATCTTTGAATTGAGTGCAGAGGGGAACAAGACATAGTTGTAAAGGTGGTTCCCAAATAGAGGCCATTACATATATGTCACTATCGTTTAGTAAAGGCTAGCAAATGAGATTGGTTTGGGCCCCTTCTATTATCATTGAGGATGCAACTCTAGGTCGGGTCTACTCTACCTTTCACGATTAAAGGGAAGAATATTTCTTTCCTTCCGACTATTATTACATGGAATCATTATTTGCACCACCTCGAATATTCGCACTCGTCAAAGGCTCAAGATATCAAGGGGAAGAAATAATGTTGATTGAGTGAAGCGTTTTTAAGTACAAATGACCCAGAAACACTGATTTTACTGTGCAAATATGACTATTATTCTAAAACTTTAATTCTAAATTATTATTTATGCATGCTAAAGGACCAAATTATCTGAACAGTCCAAGCCCAGGCCGCCATCGCGACCCCTATCTTGACCAATTTGGTTTCTATGGCTTAGAATGTTTGTATAAGACATCAAGGATAATTCAGTCCCTTCCATCAGAAAGGAATCAAAGATATAAGTTTGGCAATGTACTTTCAAAATTCACTCAAACAAACGATTCATGCAAAAACAGTCAGCAGCATGGTATTAAGCGTAAGCAAACTTCCATGCCAGTAATAGTGAATAAATCCATGGGAAAGAAATTTACCATTCTTGGAGATCCATCTATCTCAGCAACTTCCATGCCTGTAACGATCATTCCAGGCACAAT